CCTTACTTTGGGAAAGTAAACATTTTACATATTTTTTCACCAATCTTGGTTGCCCTCTCAAAAACATTCAACAGTAAGAAGAAAAGTCAACAACGGAAGAGAGACTTCTTCATCGATTACATAATGTTTGAGAGATAACAAAGACACAAGTGTCTGGATAAGTTGTCCATGAAAACAGCTTAGGCATCTTAACTGTATTTAATTAAAAAAAAAAAATGCTTGAAGTTCCCGTGATCAAACTAGAATCAAGGAAGGCTTCTTGACCCTTCAGTTCTGCTTCCTTGGATGGCTTGTCTACCATTTTCCGTTACTCTTGAGCTGCTTTCTCAGTGGTTCCCTAAGAAACACAGTGCTGGCCCTTTGAATCCTGACACCGTGATGTCTCCAGTCAGGGGCCACCCAGAGAGCTTCGTTCAACAATGGCATTGTTAGATGCTTGGTTTGCCTTGAAAGCCACCAACCCTTGTCTCTGACCTTGATCTCCAACAGGGGTAAGTGACCTTGATTTCTCGCAAAATCAAAGGAAACCAAACAAAATTGGTGCCTTAATCCACTTAGCCTTCTGTCAACCTGTCCACTCTGGGGTTGTAAGGAGCTGGCCCTCTCTCTTGAAGCAGTATGGCTTCCACTATAATCCTCCCCTTTCCAGCGGGAGCACAAAATTACTTGGTCTTAAGATTCCTCAACGCTTGCCCTTGGTGTGCTTAGCGTACAAAGGAAAACCAGCCGTGTGAATCAAATTACAGGACCAGGCTGAGAAAAGGTTAACGGAAAACGCTTACTGGGCCGTGTGAAACAAGTCACGATAGCGGATGTTACATATACCTGTTTTCATGTACAGATTATTCTTGTTTTGCATTCCAGTCCAGAATTTCTGTGGACATTGATGAAGAAGAACCTGTCTACAAAGGCTTTACGGAGAGAGATACGAGAATGGCATACACTTGTTTGGGTGGTCCGGGTGTCTCTTATCTCCCATGAAATTATGCTTTAAACATGCCTCTGGTGATGAATGGTGACTTTATTCGAAGGTCTTCGGATGTATTTGCTGCACGGTTCTTGAGGATTCCTGGCTGAAGTTTTGTAGTTTGCCTTGATCCAACTACTTCCAAACAGATTCCTGGGGGAACCTCCAGTTTTCAAATAAACAGGCACGCTATAGGTAGTCACCACAGGCAACTGTACCCATTAAAATCTCAATCTTTATTTAAAAAAAAAAAAAAAAAAAAAGTTTTGCTTATATATCGGATGTAAACCCAACACTAAATGCTCAGATAAGCATCAACTTAATGTTATTTCAAAAGTCATGTTTAAATCTGTAGCTTTCATTACAAATATCTCTGGTGATCCTGCCATGAAGTTCCTTGTTCGGGCACCTCCTGTAATGGGGTGACAACAGTCTTTCAGTTGTGCTTCTGCATTGTCACACTGAGCAAAGGATATGTCACCAGCACACCAGGGAACTCCATCAAACGGACCAACGCTTTTATTGACAATCACATCACAGCGAAGGACGGCTGTCTTTTGCTCTGTCCATTGCTGTGATGCGGTTGTCAATAAAAGCGTTGAACCGTTTGATAGAGTTCCGTGGTGTGCTGGCGACATATCCTTTGCTTTGCCAGCCGGCAGTTTCCTCAGCACCATGGCTGGATCTAGGGGGATGCTGCATAGCCCCCCCCAGATTTTAGTTGTCCCCCCCTCCCCAAGCCAACCCTACTATACTGCCCTAATCTGACACAATACCACCCTCATCTGATATTTTACCGCCCTAGTTTGACACTATACTGATACTATACAGATCTCAGTTATGCATTGTGTGGGGAGGAGGAGCTCTGCTGCCCGTGCCTAGGCTGTGTGCAGTGCAGAGATGGGGGAATGAGCTGTGCCCGTCCTCTGCCCTGCCAGCAGTGACCCATCTTCTGCCCTGCTGACCTCTCATCCTCTGCCCCCTGACATTTTTTTACTGCACCCCCACATCAGACAAGCTAGATCTGGCCCTGTTCAGCACCCACTTTAGCTGGCTATAGATGGTTCAAATCTCAGCCAGTTCAGCAGGGACTGGCCAAGATTTGATCTATTAATGGGGTGGCTGATTGTGCCCAAGTCGATCCATCGATCAACCAGCATGTCAGATTTCTAGAAAGTGATTATTTCCAGCGGCTATGGCCACTAGCAATAATCATGTTCTCCTGGCAAGGATGGCTCCCCGCACCCCCGGCCCCACACCGGGAGTACACAATAGGTCAGCGGGAGGGATTGTTGGAGATACAACAGCATGTACTATATATAGTATGGTGTGTTAATATCACTTGACCAGTAGATGGCACTGTACACTAAGGTTACTAGTTGCGCATATGTGTAAAACTTGTTGGTTCTCTCTCTTCCTATTCCTCTCTTCAAAAAAAAAAAAAAAACCCAAGATGTCTGCTGAAATGTGTTCTGTATGTTTGCTACTTAAGCCACACAAGTAAAACAGAGTTCTGCCTCACAAGCTACCAGTGTCTTCTCTAACACATAACCAACAGGGATTACCCCATCAACATAGTCAGAATGGAGCAATTTTCATTCTGCAAACCCTGGTTGCAGGAAAGAAATTCGCATAATCTAAGGCCTGCCTTACTCTACAGCCATTTACAGAAACGTGTGCATTTTTGTGGACTGCGTTGTCACCCTGTCTCATGCTCCCCTGGTAATGACTACATGTGGTCATGCCAACATACACTATGCAGGCATGACCCACCGTTCTCAGGAACCTGGTTCAGATCTAAACCCTATTTGGATGATATTCGTCAAGCAATCATAAACAATGGTCATTTTTATTACGGTTTTCATCTTTTTTTCATTCATTGTTACATCTCAGTTCTGCTGATCTTCTGCATCCTCTTTCTGCCTACATGCACCCTCGAGGCTCCAAGTGCATCCTGAGTCATCTATTGACTCCAAGTACATTCCCCGTGAAGAAGAACCACTTGAACGCACAGTCAAACATCCGCTTACCTCTAAAGGTAGATGTCAAGATACAACCCATCAATTGAAGAGTCTATGTTATAGTGCTGCAGTCTCTGTTGGAAGCCCATGTGACCCTTGACTCCCAATTGCTCACCTGCGCTGTCGCGTTGTCACAAGGGCTTCCAAGAGAAACCACAAGTGACCATCTTAATGCAGATCATGCAAGTCTGACCTGGTGGGGGCAGGTGTGGGGGGCGCATGTGCAGCCCAATTGTCACCTGCCACTTATAGATAGGGTCTCCATAGGAGTTTCCGTGCAGCCAAACCTCTTCGTCAATGATCTGTATTCGCAGCTGCTTCCCAGTGCCAGCACAAATGCCCCAACGCCATCCAGACCACAAAGCACTAGACCCCCACAAGGAGAGCACAACCCAGATCCCCCGCCTGCGCTCCCATGAGAATTCAATACTGCCTCCAACCAAACATGAGGCAGAGCCTAGGCAGCAACGTGAGATTGCTTGCCCACGGCCCAGCCCCCAACAGGCCACAGACTGCCACTGGCCCAGGGGTTGGAGACCTTTGTCATCCAATTAGGGTTTGCATCTGGACCAGCTTCCTGACAGTGGCAAAGGTGGGCCAGTGTTGGCTGGCATGGCCACCTGTAGTCATTACCAAGGGGGATAACGAAGTAGAAAACAGTTGTCACCCCATATAATAAAGTGCCTGTTACAAGGACATTCACAAAGGGAACACCGGGGACTATTTTAATAAAAGCTGCAGATTTAAGAATATTGAACAATTAGTTTTTAAATGAGATTATCATGGTAACACTTATTAGACAATTTACTGATTGGGATTGGCATTGTATCTACATTCATAAATGTATCTTTGTACAATAAAAAGGAAATAAAAATGCTGATTGGGTTCAAGAAAAAAAATCACCGCATGCTTAGGAAAAAGCCATACCGTCCCCAGTTGGACGTAACAAAAAGCGCACAGTTTCCTGGCAAGCTTAAGAAGTGAACTGCTGCCTGGCTCCGATAGGGTTAAAGCACAAAAAAAAAACACTTTACTTACAAATGTTTTCATATTGAAACTATGAGAAAAATGGAACTCTTGGACTCAGAGGGGAGGGGGTGGGGGAGGGGCTGGCAGACCGACAAAGGGGGGGGGGGGGGGGGGGGGGGGGGGGGGGGGGGGGGGGGAGGGGGGGGGGGGGGGCGGCATTCCTGCTGGGTCTTTTTGGCAGGTTTTCAAACACCTGGCAACCTGATTGTAGAAAAAACAAAGTATAAATTCACACACCCTCCGAAAAATAAAACAAGGACCAGGGACTGGCGTGAGTTCAGGGCTCAGAACCCCCAAAATACTACTTTTTTTTTTTTTTTGGGTGGAGGTTGTGGAAATTGCAGAAAAAGCTGCTGGGTGCTTAAAAGATGCATATTACTGAAAAAAAATTAAATAAAAAAAAAATAAAAGCACTTTGCAGCGTATAGTGAAACAAAATCGCAGAGCAAGAAATTGAAGCTCCAGTTATATCAGGGCTACATATTTATTTATTTTTTTTTTCTGTGGTTCCTCAACTGCATAAGAGCACTGACAAAACGTATCTAAGGCCTTTTTTGCAGTTTTTTTTTTTTAAATGCAACCCTAAATTTAAAAAAATAAATAAATAAAAAGTATAAAGAAAGGGAAAAATTAATATTAATGGTTAGAACTGAAAAAAAAAAAAAAATCAGGAAAAATAATGGTTATGGGGAAAAGGGGAAGAAGGAGTTACTTAGGGCTGATGAGGGTTAACGAAGGACTATAGTAAGGGCATAAGATGAACTAATTGTATTTGAAAAAAAAAAACAAAACAAAAAACAAACAAAAAAAATAGATTGTACTAACTGCTATCATATGCAAACTGGAGCTCATCCCTCTGATCTGCAGGTGACTGATGGCGGTCCGACACGCTTCCATAAATAATACATTTCTTTTCTGATCGATCTCTTCACAGATCACAGAGCAGCTGTTTAGACCCGTGCTCAGGGGCGGACTGACAACTCATGGGGCCCCCGGGGAATAGGGGATCATGGGGCCCCTGTGTCCTTGCCCAAACTCAAAAAAGCCTATGAAAAAGGTACCAGGGGCATCTCATGGGGCCCCCTACTGACCCTGGGCCCTCGGGCAGTGCCCAAGTTTTCAAATGGTCAGTCCGCCCCTGCCCGTGCTACATCCATGTTACATCTTTTATTCATCTTCCCTGGGACTTGTGGTTTCTCAACAGCATAAGAACACTGACAACGTTTTTCTAAAGCCTTTTTATTTACTTTTTTGAAGTTTTGCATATTGGTTATCAAAAAAAAAAAAAAAAAAACTGCAGAAATATAATAGGGTCCTTTCACACTGGCGGTCAGTTTTTTTTTTCCTTCAGTTCAGTCATGTTTTTTTCAAAGAAAAAAACTGATGAGTTTACATCTATTTTTTCATCCGTTTACATTGGTTTATATACGTTTTTATCTGGTCAGATCCATTTTACATCCGTTTATGTCCATTTTCATCCGTTTTGGTCTGTTTCCATCCATTTTTATCTGTTTACATTGGTTTACATCCGTTTTTCATCTGTTTAGATCCGTTTTTTTTCATCCGTTTATGTCCATTTTCATCTGTTTTTGGTCTGTTCGCATCCATTTTCATCCATTTACATCCATTTTTCATCCGTTTACATTGGTTTACATCTGTTTTTCATCTGTGTAGATCCGTTTTTCATCCGTTGATGCCATTTTCATTTGTTTTGGTCTGTTTACATCCGTTTTTATCTGTTTACATTTGTTTACATCCGTTTTTTCATCTGTTGATGTCCATTTTCATCTGTTTTTGGTCTGTTTGCATCCATTTTCATCCATTTACATTGGTTTACATCTGTTTTTCATCTGTTTAGATCCGTTTTTTCATCCGTTCATGTCCATTTTCATCCGTTTTTGTCTGTTTACATTTGGTTCACATCCGTTTATGTCCATTTTCATCTGTTTTTGGTCTGTTTGCATCCATTTTCATCCATTTACATTCGTTTTTTCATCTGTTTGGATTCGTTTTTCATCCGTTTATGTCAATTGTCATCCGTTTTTTTGGTCTGCTTACATCCGTTTTTCAGCTGTTTAGTAAAAAATGCAGAAAAATAATAGGGTCCTTTCACATGGGCGTTCCTATTTTTTTTTCTTCAGTTCAGTCACGTTTTTTCAAACAAAAAACTGATGAGTTTACATCCATTTTTTCATCCGTTTACATTGGTTTACATCCGTTTTTCATTTGTTTAGATCTGTTTTTCATCCGTTGATGTCCATTTTCATTCGTTTTGGTCTGTTTACATCCATTTTTATCTGTTTACATTGGTTTACATCCGTTTTTCATCGGTTTAGATCCGTTTTACATCCGTTGATGGCCATTTTCATCCGTTTACATCCGTTTTTATCTGTTTACGTCCGTTTTTCATCTGTTTAGATCCGTTTTTCATCTGTTGGTGTCCATTTTCATCCGTTTTTGGTCTGTTTACATCCGTTTTTATGTTTACATTGGTTTACATCCATTTTTCATCCGTTGATGTCCATTTCCATCTGTTTTTGGTCTGTTTACATACGTTTTTCGTCCGTTCCATTTTTTTTTTTTTGCGGAAGAAAAATAGGGGTTTCTTCCTTTTAAAAAAACGAATGTTAACGGATGCGGACATTAACGGATGTAAAATTATGTTCATCCATTTACATCTGCAAGTCCATAGAAATACATGGGGGTCCGTTTTTCATCCGTAAAAGGACAAATGAAAAACGGAAATACGGAACGCCCGTGTGAGGGACCCTTAACGGGAAAAGGGGAAGGAGCTAATTAGGGTCAAATAGGGTAAACAAAGGGATCATTTGAACGCAGTTTAAAAAAAAATTTTTTTTTTTTTTTACTTGCCAGATTGTTTCAACTGACTGCAAATTGAAGCTTATTCCTTCTGATGGGAATAATTGATCTATATTCGAACTATATGCTAAACACAGGGAAGTGGATTTTGATTTACAGTTAAAGTGGTTCTAAAGGCTTGAGGTTTTTTACCTTAATTCATTCTATGCATTACAGTAAAAAAACCTCCTAGGTGCAGCTCTTTCCCCCCAGGCCCCCTAATACTTACCTGAGCCCCACCTCGATTCAGCTATGTGCATGAGAGGAGCAGTTCTCCCGGGTCTCTCTCTCCTCGTTGACTCACACAGCAGGGGGAGCCATTGGCTCCTGCTGTTAATCACAACCTGTGAGCCAATGAGGGGACAGAATCCCGCTCGAATATCCCCATAGCAAAAGGCTTGCTATTGAGGGCACGCGGCAGGGGAGAGGAGCCAGGACCGCTGGCGGGGGACCCAAAAAGAAGAGGATCATCAAATTCAAACTGCTAACTCTGACCTACAAAGCCATTCACAACGCCGCCCCAAACTACATAACTGACCTGATACCCGATTACTACCCTACCCGTGCCCTCCGCTCCTCACAGGACCTCCGACTCTCTAGCTCCCTGGTCTCCTCCTCCCACGCCCAATTACAGGACTTCTCCAGGATTTCCCCCATCCTCTGGAACTCCCTACCCCAATCCATCAGACTGTCACCCACCCTCCTCACCTTCAGGTGCACCCTGAAAACCCTCCTCTTCAGGGAAGTCTACCCCAACCTCACGTAACACCTGACCTCACCTAACAACTAACCTCCTGCACTCCTCCCATCACTCCATCCCCCCCACAGCCATCTCCTCCTGTGCCACCTTCCCCTCCCTCCTAGATTGTAAGCTCGAAAGAGCAGGGCCCTCGAACCCCTCGTGTATTGTTACTGTCTTGTCTCATGTTCTGTCCCCCCTGCTACTGTACAGCGCTGAGCATACCTTTTGGCGCTATATAAATACTGTATAATAATAATAATAATAATCAGGGCTGCCCTGTGCAAAACCACTGCACAGAATAGGTAAGTATAAATTGTTTATTTAAAAAAAAAAATTATTTCCTTTAGAATTACTTTGTCACCGGTCAGACCGCTGCGAGTTAAAATTGCGAGATTTGTATGCAATTTCAGCGCGACTTCTGAAGACTGTATTGGTACTTGTGAAGACTTTCAACGATGTCTTGCCATTTGCAGTGCGATTTCCATTCTATTCTATGTATGTGAATTTGCCACAAATCTGCAGAAAAAAAGTCACGCAAGAACTACTTTAGAAATCGCGCCGCAGAAAATCGTGCGTGTTAAGACACTGACATTCACATTCATTAGATGCGATGTCAATTCCCAAATCGCACAGGGATGACCGGGCACTTAGATGCAATCATATCCTCTGATCATAGGTTACTGATAGAATGGTCTCCACCAGGGGCGGACTGACAACTCATGGGGTCCCCAGACAATAGGGGATCATGGGGCCCCTGTGTCCTTGCCCAAACTCAAAAAAAGCCTATGAAAAAGGTACCAGGGGCCTCTCATGGGGCCCCCTACTGATCCCGGGCCCTCGGGCAGAGCCCGAGTTTCCAAATGGTAAGTCCACCCCTGGTCTCCACCATATAACCTCATAATCTGATCAATCGAAAAACGATCGTATTTATGAACAGTTTCTCAGTGCTACCAGTGCAAAATGCCCCAACTTGGCCTAACCCCCCTTTATTTGATTAAATCTGAAGGGAACGTACGGTTATTATTATTATTATTCTGATTATTTGCAGATTCAATTGTTTTGATTGCATCACACATTAATCGGATTAAAAATTAAAAAAATTAAAAATAAAAAGAACCAGCTACCAGGAAATAGGGTAAATACATACGTAACAATGTCGCTTTGTACCTCTCTGTATGGACAATGTTTAACAAAAAATCTGAGTGAAATTCCTTTTTTTTTACAGCAGCTGTCATTCAGACAGCTGGGAATTGCTGGAAAGTGCCAAGGGGAGCGACAGTAGGGCATGACGACATACTACACACACCCGGTGTACATCAATAACGTTTTGATTACACGTAGTACGCCCAATTATAATGGACATACAGGGGCTTCCATTAATGACCACATCCTGAAAATGCCTGGCAGCAAGTATCTTTGTTAAAGTCCAGGATCCTCATCTGCCCATCTCCAGCCAATCGTATATTCATTTTAGATGAAGTGTAAAAGGGTTAGAACCCCGTTAGGGTTTTATTTCTTCATTCCTGCTGGTAGACATAAAAAGAGAAAAATGGGTGGCACCGGGACAGGAAGACTCTTTTTCAAGTTTTGGTTTGGTCAGAGTTGGTCCAAAAGAAGCAGTGGCACACCCAATACTCCAATGTACAGTAAAAGAAAAAAATGCACACTTTGACCCATAAGACCCAAAGGGAAAGCTCATTTTATACAATTTCAATTATGAAAAGTACAAAATATATGGAAAAAATGACGTGGATCCCCCTCCAAATGATGGAGTTCGGGTGTGATTAGCAAAGTGTTAAATACTACAGCATACAAAGACATTGTGGACAATTGTGCGCTTCCAACCTTGTGGTGACATGTTGTTGAAGGCCCTTTTCTGTTTCGCCATGACAGTGCCTCTGTGAACCAGGCCAGCTCCTAAAGACACGGTTTGACCAGTTTGGTGTGGAGGAGCTCAAGTGTTGTGCACAGAGCCCTGACCTCAACCCTACCGAGCACCATTGGGGTGAAATGGATGGCTATGGTGACCCAGGTCTTCTCATCCAACATCAGCACCTGACCTCAACTCTACCGAGCACAATTGGGGTGAAATGGATGGCTATGGTGACCCAGGTCTTCTCATCCAACATCAGTACCTGACCTCAACTCTACCGAGCACCATTGGGGTGAAATGGATGGCTATGGTGACCCAGGTCTTCTCATCCAACATCAGTACCTGACCTCAACTCTACTGAATGCCTCTGGGATGAATTGAAATGATGACTGTGACCAAGATATCTTCTCACCTGATATCAGTACCGGACATCACAAACGGGTAAAACTTCCCACAGACACAGTCTGAAATCCTGTGGAAAACCTTCCTTCAGGAGATTGGAATGAGATTTCTAACAGTTTCATATAGATGTGACGGGCAGGTCTCCAGAAACTTTAGTCTATATATTGTGTATTGACGCTGCAGCAAACCCCCACAGTCCTAACCTATATGTTTGTTTCTATCCTCAAGAACCAAAATCTCATACATTATTCTTTTACAATATAGGTCTCCAACCCCATTGGGTGAGCAAGTGAGGCTTGATTTGTATTTGCAGTCACTCGTGCTTTGCCCAGCCCCAAACGAGGCATCTCTTGCAACACATGCTGTGTCCCTGCACAGGGGACATACCAGGAAGAGGGCGTCAGTTGGCTCATTGTTCCCATTCGCTGTGCGGCTGCCGGGAATTGTAGCCAGAGGACCTGAAGAAGGACCGAGACTAGCCCTGTTTCAGACTACTGAACCCAGAATCCCCCGCGTCACGCCGAATCAGTCGATCTAAAGCAGCCAATCAGCTCAGATGCTCGCCATTCATGCAATTTCAGATTAGTGGGGTATGGTTAGGTCAGAGATGTGAAAGATGGAAGGAAGGTTGGCACAGCTGCATGGAGACTCCAATGGAGGCCATATTGGTTAGCAGGTAACAACTGGGCTGCACTCCCCCCCCACCCCGCACCCCCTGGTCCCTGGTGCCGGGGAGGTTGGGGACTGCTGTTTTACAATATATCCTGCCTGAGTTTTTGGCAGATAAAAGCTGTTACAGTTATTCATTCATACACAAAACAGCTCTCATCTAATATCAACTTCATGGATGCTCAACCTTTTGAAGCCACTTAAATGATTTGGTAATTAGACTTCTATTACATCTTGCGGGTGTGGTGCACTTTATGAAAGCGCTCCAAACCTGCAGGATATAATAGACGTCAATGGATCAGTGTGAAAGCAGGCTAATGGTTTATAGGTGCTAATATGCCCTTTGCAAAGCTATTATGCACAGTGTATGTGTTACTTAATACCCCGCTTGCAGCTACTGCTGGCATTGTTCTTGAGGCTGGCTAGAAAGGACTACAGGCGGAGTGCTTGGCATCATTCCACCTGAGACAGGAGCCGGTGCTACAGAAAAAGCATCATCTTATTGAGGCTTCCACTCCCTCTGCTGCCGGCTCACTGGACTTCGATGGTCTGGGATGGCGGGTCAGCAAGCCCAGATCACGATCAATGGGTTGCCGACCATGGGCAGGTGCTTCAATAGTTTGAGGTTGAGAGCCACATCAGACGGCTCTGAGGACCACATGTAGCCCACGGGCCAAGCACCCCTGATCTACCTGTATCTCTACATTTCTCTGGGGCCCTTACCTTTGACTTGACCTCAGCTGCACCTTTGATGGCCCTCATACTTGGTGTTACCCTGGCAAGTTTTGGTGAACACCCCCTGCGCCCTCTTATTATAAACAGACTCAATATGGATTCTTACCGCAAGCCCCGGTTTTCTTGTCCACGAGCTTCACCCGTCTTGTTTGACTACGAACTCTTGAGTCTGTACTTTCAACAAGGTTGGCCAAGTCATCGATAATTTCTAGGAGAAAAAGGTGAAATCTGAAATTAATTTGAGGTCTTGAATTTTTTATTTCCAGTCATTGGGTTACAATTCATCAGTAGCAATGATTAGGAGCCCGCTTAGATCCATCTGTGTGCATAGAGGTGCGATGTGATGTGCCAACACGCTTTTTCATTTGTGCATTGACGTGTTATCGATGTTGATGTGTGCATGCAATGCGTTTTTACATGTAAAGCAGAACTAGACTCTCTCAATCAACAATAACAATTTTAATCCTTATGCTGCTAGTATTAGTAAATAGATAGGAAGGTGAATTGTATTTACTTGTTTTTTCTTTACACTTCTTTAATTGCTAAGCACATCCTCCTGCCTGCATGCCTGAGCTAAGGGCAGATTGATTCAGAGAAGTAAATGCTACATGAAGCATCCACCCTTACTCAAGTTAGAAAAGCTAAGGGGTTTGTTTTGTCAAAGAGAGTACAATCAGCCTGCCCTCTACATGGTTCTAATCTTAGCCGGTCCCTGCTGAACCGGCCAAGATTCGAACAATCTATGGATGTCTTAAAGTGTTACTAAACCCAGAACCCTGCATTCACTATATTTGGTCCCCCCCCCGGACCCTGCATTCACTATATTTGGTCCCCCCCCGGACCCTGCATTCACTATATTTGGTCCCCCCCCGGACCCTGCATTCACTATATTTGGTCCCCCCCGGACCCTGCATTCACTATATCTGGTCTCCCCGGACTCCGCATTCACTATATCCGCTCTCCCCGGACCCCGCATTCACTATATCTGGTCTCCCCGGACCCCGCATTCACTATATCCGCTCTCCCCGGACCCCACATTCGCTATATCCGCTCTCCCCGGACCCCGCATTCGCTATATCCGCTCTCCCCGGACCCCGCATTCACTATATCCGTTCTCCCCGGACCCCGCATTCACTATATCCCCTCTCCCCGCATTCACTATATCCGCTCTCCCCGGACCCCGCATTCACTATATCCGCTCTCCCCCGGACCCCGCATTCACTATATCCGCTCTCCCCGGACCCCGCATTCACTATATCCGCTATCCCCGGACCCCGCATTCACTATATCCGCTCTCCCCCGGACCCCGCATTCACTATATCCGCTCTCCCCCGGACCCCGCATTCACTATATCCGCTCTCCCCGGACCCCGCATTCACTATATCCGCTCTCCCCGGACCCCGCATTCACTATATCCGCTCTCCCTGGACCCCGCATTCACTATATCTGCTCTCCCCGGACCCCGCATTCACTATATATGCTCTCCCCAGACCCCGCATTCACTATATATGCTCTCCCCAGACCCTGCATTCACTATATCCGGTCTCCCCGGACCCTGCATTCACTATATCCGCTCTCCCCGGACCCGGCATTCACTATATCCGCTCTCCCCGGACCCTGCATTCACTATATCTGCTCTCCCCGGACCCCGCATTCACTATATCCGCTCTCCCCGGACCCCGCATTCACTATATCAGGTCTCCCCGGACCCTGCATTCACTATATCCGCTCTCCCCGGACCCCGCATTCACTATATCCGGTCTCCCCGGACCCTGCATTCACTATATCCGCTCTCCCTGGACCCCGCATTCACTATATCTGGTCTCCCCGGACCCCGCATTCACTATATCCGCTCTCCCCGGACCCCGCATTCACTATATCTGGTCTCCCAGGACCCTGCATTCACTATATCCGGTCTCCCCGGACCCTGCATTCACTATATCCGGTCTCCCCCCCGACCCTACATTCACTATATCTGGTCTCCCCCGACCCTGCATTCACTATGTCTGGTCCCCCACAGTACACACAACATGGAAATGCAATTATTTTAGTAAATATAAAAGGCTAAATTCCTTTTCTCATCAGCAGTATATAGCAGTCGTGTAACTTCTATCAGTGTCCAGCAGAGCACTGGTTAAAGCATGTAGGAGAAGTTTTAATTCTGCTCTAGTCGGACGCAGAACCCCTGAACTCTGTCTGGACAGTACTGGTGGGCCCTGTGCTAATTACATGCACCCTCC